CCCCCCCTCCTCTCCCAACCAAATTTAAAATTTTGCTTATTCTTCTCCAAAAGAAGTAGGATAAGGATGCAGTGAATCTTTGCAACCCATTTCTGTATACTGGGAAATCCGTTCAACTGCGAGTTCACTTTTTTATCCCCGTCCCCACTATGCATTTGAAGTGTTTGATGTTCAGTCTCAGGGAAGGCTTTCTTTCACCATTACTAGTGAAATGGCATTAAACCCAATGAATCCAATCCTGGAGTGCTGGCTATCAACTAAATTTTGCAACAACATTCATTTACTTTCCCTGTTATTCTGAAAGACTAAGGTTTTGTTTTGTATTCACAGTACTAGGGGGATGAACTTTCCTCATCTGAGCTTCTATCCTGCTTTGGATTGTACCTGTTGAGAACAGGTAAAGTTGCATTTTGAGCTAGTCGGAAGGATCTACCTGAACCACCAACAATTCTATCATGCATCTTTTCCACTTCTTTGCACACTAGATCAAGAATATTCAAAAAGTCTCTTACAATCATGAAAATTCTTAGAGGGTGGGCTTCTTCCTTTGCTACATTCCCATGAAAGTATTCTGTAACTTCTTTCACAAGAAACAAGGCTTTTCTCTCATCCTCTTTGATCCTTACAATTTCATCTTCAGCATATTTCAGAAATAACTTTGTGGAGTTAAAGAAATTGCCTTGCATATCTGGCTTCTCATATTGCAAAACCAATCGCACCTTATCAAGCCCTGTTTCAAGCTTTGAAAGATAGCTGCTCAAGACATCTGAATCCATCCCTGCTGCTTTTTTTACATTACTAAGATCTTTACTGAGTCCTGCCACAACCTGCAACCCTTGCTTCTTAAACTCATCCTCATTAAATTTGGAATCCATTTTCACATTGTCATTTGCAGACTCTGCTCCTGCACCCTCAGATCTAATGATCTCTTGGACCACAAAGTGGAGCAATGTGGTCTTTCCGTCTGTTCCCTTTATATCCACAAGTTTTAGGAGTGTATCCAGTTTGAAAGCTTTGGCGTCCCCTCGATTAGTGCCGACATTCATTCGGTTTCCTGTCCTTAGAACAGCTTCAAGGAGTTTGAGGAATAATCGGCTGTTCCTTAATTCCTCACTTGCAGCCTGACACATAAACAAATGATTGGTTAGTTTCCTATAAGAGATCAAGAAATCAAATATAAGAAGAGATTTGTACAAAAATAGAAAACAAAGATAAGAGATTGAATCATTGAAATAAGCTAGATAGACCTCCATGGTTTGAAAAGACTTCCTAAGGTAGTTAATTTCTGAATCAAAGTTGGCTCGGTATAGCATAGCTTCAACTCTTTTAAAGGCAAAAGGAATATCAAGCACCGCTTTAAGAAATCTTTCCGCAGATCCAAGTTTTGAGAGGTCACCATCATAGTTTTTAAGTTTTATCTCTTCCTCTTTAGTAGGAGCCATCTTTACTAGGGTTTCCAATAACTCAGTGCCCAAACCTTCAGGATTCCCTGTTTCATCCAAAAATAATACCACCAATTAGCAAAGTGGAAATACAGGATGTAGATAAGCAATTGGTTCAAGGTAAAAGAAAAACTAAAAAAAAAAAAAAATAGACATGTCAAGGACATAACCTGTGACATTATTTTATGTAAATATATAATCAGATATTTAACATATTTATTACTGATTCAGTAGATTAATATAAACCAGAAACATTGGGGTCTTGTAATTTCGAACAATAACAACAACAATAATCTTATCCTACTTGGTGAGATTGACTACATGAATCACAGGTCACCATTGAATTTGGTTAAAAACCAAATTCTCAAGGGTATAACATTTATTCATTATAACATCCATTTTCATAATTTCCTCTAATATCCTTCTTGGTTTCCTTCTACTCCTTTTTAGAGGGCTAAAATCCAAGCAACTTACTCTCACTGGTGCCCCTAGTGACATTTGCTTGTGTCCAAATCACCTTAAAGCTCTAGTTTAGAATTAACTTCTTCCCTTTTTTCCTCAATCAAAATATATCATCTGCAAAAGCATGCATTTAGGGATAATGTTTGTATGACCCAAATAAACACATCCAAAACAAGTAAGGACTCGTGGTTTAGCTTTGATGCAAACTTATCCTTGTAGGAAATCCTTAGTCTCACCTTCAAGAATTCTCACACTAATAGTTAGAGTCTAAATACAAGCCAGTTGAACACATTTCTTTTCCACAAAGTATTCCACAACACTTGTTTTGTTCTTTTGGCACTCAATCATATGTCTTTTCCATAAATAATAATCATATGAAAGTCTCTTCCTTTACTTCGATAACTTACCATCAATACTCGTAAAATATTAACACAATGAAGAAATAAAACTAGCTTTATGTTAAACTTGAATGCAAAAAATAATCACCAGCTTTTATTATGAAAGAAACTCTTTAAGAAATTAACGCCTTACAATTATTTGTTGCATTTGAGGTGGATTTATAAAAGCATTGTGACTCCTCTATTAAGAATATGAATATGAAAAATGCGTGACATTTAAAATTTTGACACCAATATACTTGTTGATGGTTTCTAGGAAAAATGAGCCATTAAAGGAATGTAAACAGAGAGTTACCACTTACTAATTTACCCAGTTGATATCAAGTATCAAGGAATTAGATATCGTTATTTCTATTTGTAAAAGAAAGATCCAGAGACAAAGATAAAGATTAAAAAGAAATGCGATTCACTTAATGAGAAGGACAATCTATCTTTTCAATTGGAAGCAAGAATAATATGATGATCTGGCTGAATCATTTGTGAACCCCAAAACAAGGGTACTATTTGCTTTTAGGGAGACATGACAGTTACAGTCCAAAACCACGAAACTAGGTAGTTAAATTAAAGAATTGCAACAGTGATAGGCTGATTGGCTATGATGGCCATGGCAGAACTGAGTTTATTGAGTTTGTGAATAGAAGATCTTTCTCAGCCGGGAGTGGAGGAATAAGTGGTGCGATCCCACCATGGTGGATGTTCAATTATTGTTTTATACTTCTAAAGGATGTTTTATGACCGGAGTATTATAATTTATTGGTAGGATTTTATTTTTCTCACATTTTGAAGTTCACAGTTCCTGAATACCTAATTTCATTGCTTAACATAATAATACACATGGCATGATGCTGCTTAAACATGTTCATACTCGATTTCAGATGCAATGATGATGACTTGAAGAAGAAGCTCTTGCACCACACATTATATTTCTTGTATGATTCATTCTCTTTACATTGGCATAAACAGTTATGGGTAAGCTTTATGCCCCCACTCCATGTTTCCCGGTATGATAAACAGACTTTGAACCTATTAACACATCTTTGAAACATTTTTTTTTTTGTAGGTAATATTAAAATCTATCCAGACAAATACTGCATGCTTTAGCAGGTGTATTACATATGAATTCAAGAATCAACACTATAGATCAGACCAGAAATACTTAACAGAACCATGAATACCCAAATCAGAGATCTGTGGAGCAAGTGTATAAATTCCAACTACTAACCAAAAATTGTCAAGAATAAACAAAAAAGAAAGCAATTTACCATCTAAAAGCGCTTCCGACACCTCATCTCTAGTCACATTCAAAGCCCTGAGCAGTATAGCTATGTTCTGTGACTTCTTCGGGTCTAACACCCTATTCTCCTGATCAACGGACGGAAGAACTGATTTTCTAGCAGTTTCTTTCTTCGGGGCAGAATTCACGGCTTTGCAGCCAAACAACGATTCCATCATGTCCTCATTCAACCTATTAAATAAAACACCATACCACATAAACAAACATTAGTTTACAGTTGTGCAACTTCGGAACTTCCTCAAAACTACACGAGTTACTTAAGTTAACTGATTCGACTCACTGAAAGGAGCTTGATTTTATCTGGTCCCACACAGTAGCACGGTCTGAGGTCGCACGCACTTTATCCCAATGCAGAGCCTTTAACTTGGGTTTTGCTCCTTCCGCTTCATTGGCTTCAAGCCTCTCGGAAAAGCTCACACTTTGAGCAACCTCTGAACTTTTCGACCCATTGCTCTGAACCGGCGACAAAGACTGCCTCTTTACGGATGCAGAATTAGAGGAACCACTAACCGCCGGTGACCCAGGTTTCCGCAGCGGCGGAGGAGGCGGAGGAGGAGTAGGGATAAGTGAAGGCCTAGACACTTGCGGAGCAGTGTCGGTTGTTGACTGAAGTTGCTTCAAATTCGGAGGTGCGGGAGGCGCCGAGAATTTCGGCTTTCGGAAATGCTGAGGTGGCGGAGACGGTGGCGTAGGCCGAGGCTGAGGCTGAGGCTGAGGCTGCTTTATCGACGGAATCATGACGTGTCTAATCTCCGGCGACGGAGCCGAAAAACGTGACTTTGGCGAAGTTCTCTTGGAGAACGGAACGACCGGTGTGGGACTTCCGTTGACGAGAGAGCTCTGACGCGAGGCAGGCGTGAAGTAACCATCGACCGACGAGTTCTGCGGCGAGTGAAACGCCGTCGTCTCCTCGTCGTCGGAGGACTCTTCGGAGGAGACCGCCGGCGGGTAGTTCCCGTCGGGAGGCTTACTCAACGGCGGCATTGGCTGCAACTCGGGACTCGGCCTATAGCGATCGGATGGCTTCAGCTTCCGGTACGGCGATCGGTTGGCTTTATTATTTTCTCGCGAGTCGCTGAACGCGGTCGAGGCGCGCGTGGGTTCCACCGTCCCAATGTAGAGAAAACTCGACGGTGGTGCCGCTGCGTTTGCGTTTGCGTTTGCGTCCTCGCTATTCCTGTTTGGGTTATTGTTATTGTTATTGCTATTCCCAGTCGCTCCAACCAGCTTCTGCGTCTCCGCGGGGTGTTTGGCTCTGTGTTTGTATAAGAAAAACGCCAGCGCTGAGAGCATTCCCAGCGTCACGATTCCCACGGAGATCGCGATTGCTACGTTTTTTGTTCCTTTCGACGGCTGCGTGGCCGTTGGGTTGGCGATTGTGCTGTTTGAACTCGACGCCGATGCCTGGTTCTGGTTCTGGTTCTGATCCGGCGGTGGCCCCCCCGGGTACTCGTGGAAGAAGGGGATGTTGTCGGGGGTAGGAGGGGTCTCCGCCGGCGGAGGAGGCGGAGACAGGGCTGCTGGCGGTGGCGCTGAACTCGCCGGGAATAATGGCTGGTGCAGGATTCTTCTTGCGCCGGATTCATTGACTTGTTTTGCAGCGTTGACTGGGATGGATAGGGAGAGTGTAACGATGACGATGTAGATGTAGAAGCTCAAGTTAGGAGCTTTCATGGTGAATTGTGGTTTTGTTTCAGCCAATTCATGTCGCGAATTCCTGTCCTCGAAATAAGAGAGAGAAAGAGTG